TATATATATATATATGATATAATAGATAAGGATGTACATCAGAGAGCTAAAGCACTGTCCAAAGACTAGACAACTGTGCACCTTGTTCACACAGAGAGGACAACTGATGTCCCAGAAGCAGTTACATAAACACATTAATCCAAGAGGTGATGACTTCTTCCCATGAGACTGACCGACCAAGATCCGGCAGCATCATCAGCATCCAGTTTTCACTGTCATGAGCTGACATGGCAGACCTCATAATGAAATTTGCTTGCTCATTTGTCAGATTAAATGTGCAGCTCCAACTTCCCACTAAAGAGAAAAAAAGGTCAACCTGGAGAGGTTTTAGATATTGATGAGTACACAATATGTGCACAGGGGAACCAAAGGAGATTAAACGTTTAACTTTATTTAAAACTAAGATGCTTTCTTTCCCATTTCCTAAGTATGTAGTTTGTTTTTGGACTTTTAGTCACATAAAGTGAAAGTTCTGGATACAATTTTCCCAGTCAGGCAAATATTAACATAGCCACATATGTTAATATAGCACAACTACTTAGACATCTTCCCTCATTTTATTAAAACCTAATAAGTCTCTTTTTAAAACAAAGGGTCAAAAATAATAAAGTCTACTTTGCAAAAGTGGAAACACAGCTAAAGGGGGTTTGCAATCTTCACTTTTCTAGTCTGTTTATATCAATCTTACAAACAACCGCTGCATTCCGTTTCCAGTGAAAAGATCTTTTGAAACCTTTAACACCATATTTCACAGTACTGAGTGCTGTAACTTCAAGCGTATCTGTGCCCTGATGTGAACGTATACAGCGGTGCAGGACAGGTCCATGCTTGTTGCTCGGACATTTGCTTCAGTCATCAAAGGACAGCCTCTGTTTTCTCTGCAGATGTTTTTTTTTTTTTTTTTGATGCAGCGAGAGGCGTGCCGAGCCCAGCCGGGCCGGACCAGGCTCGGCTCATAGGCTTCATGTGATCCTGCAGGGAGGTGTTTGGCTAAAAAAGACTTTTTCAACATCCAGGCTGCAGCATTTGAGAGCTGACTGTCTCTCTTGCCCTCTCTCAGAGCTACCGGCTTGCCTTTTTCTGTGCACATTTGGGATATATTTCCATCACTTGTGCGGCTCATTCCGGATAGTGACGCGCTGCAGTTCCGATAATGGGAGACGCTCAGTCTGCGCAACGGGAGGGGAAGAAGGATGCAGCAGCTGAGGAGGAGAGCGGAAAAGTGGATGAGGCTCAGACAGAGCAGAATATTGAAGATAAGGTATCATCTTATTTCCCATAGATGCAGATTTTTTTACATACTGCAGATAACTCCTATCACGTTTAGAAACTTATTTATTCCTCATACGCTTATGGGGATTTTCAGTAACTGCAGTAACACATTATTTGGTAAGCCTCTTATTACATTTCAAAAAAGCTGTCAGTGGTTGCTGTGTAATAAAAAATGCTGAAGCTGGGTTTTGTTGCTGTTGTCAGGACAGTGCAGGTGCTGCTTGCCAACACATCCATTAACCCTAAGATAAAAACAAAGTCCTTGTCTCATTTGAATGAACTGCATTGAACATCAAGCTCACTTTTGTCAGGTTCAAAAATAATCTGTTACTACCAATTTCTTCCTAGTAACAAATAAAAGTTGTTGAAAATTTGTGCAACTTATCTTATGTTGTCAAAGATTCTAGGAACTGTAAACTCCCCCTTGGTTACTGACTTTTTGCTTTGGTAGTTTGAGGCAAACGTACATAATCCATAGTTGGAGCCCTTCTGTTCACTGTTTCATAATGACCTTTCATTCTTAGAGGAACCTATAAATCCCAGGGGAGAGATAGAATTTCCCCTTTGCTGCACTAAGCAGAAGGAAACATCGATTATTTGTGTACAACATGATCACTGGGTCATACAGTGGAGGAAGTCAATTAGACAGCATTGTACTGTGAGAATAAAAAATAGCTATCAATATCATATGAGCAATAATTCTGATATTGTGTTGATTCAATGGCACATTTAACCTTTGTGACTTGGGTGATTACATGATTTGGATGGAATGAGGGCCTATGTATGCCAAATGAAATTCTTTCATTTTGAATAGTGTCTTTCAAGTAAGTTAAAAATGCCACAACATTTTCCCAATGCCTCTGTTTTTCATAAGGTTAACTTTACTTTCATGAAAATAATTGATAATTGATTAGCTATATTCTGTATCACACTATTTAGCACTTATATTTCCTCAAATTTTACAGTTTTATTCTTTGAGTATGGTTCAGTTTAGGGACAGTCAACCATTTAGGTTCAGGATGACTTAAAACAAAGCAACACCTGTTTACAGCCCCTACTAATGGCTAGATGCTTGCGTGTGAAATCATAAATAACTTTTGACTGGAAAATCAACTCACAGCCATCTATAATCAAATTATGGCTTTTGATCTTTTGGCATACAGTCATGTTTCAATTCAGGGTGTAGGCTGTTTTTATCTCTACATTTAGGGGAGTAAAACGTGGTTCTTGGGTTACTCAGATAATCAGTATCAACATTTAATTTTCATCAAATTAGGCTACATTATTAAAAATTTAAAAATGAAATGTTAGCTTTGAAGACCAAAAAACCTATACACAATCAACAATGTTATACACCAAGAGTGTGCATCACTGCTCTATGTGTATCATGAACTTTTTAGTGTGTTACTTGAAGGACATGTGTTTATTGTTCCCTTTCCCCTGCTCAGAATTTCCCTGACTAATCTGACTCACGGATTTGAGATTGGGACAATTAGGGCTGTTTAACTGCAAGAATACCATCACACCCACCCAACAGAGAGTGGACTGTGTTGTTTGTATACAAAATTGGATTTTGGAGCCCCAGTTAATCAAGGATTTAAATTCTTTGTTTGCTTTCATGGAAGTGCAAATTCTGATGTTATGAGCATATAAACAAATTGTTGCTATATGTTTCTTATGACTGAAAAGTGCTTGTGAAAATGTTAAAAATTGACTGCTAAAAGATGGAAACAGTTTTTTATTATTTATGAGCTTGCATACCATTTAATCTTTGCAAAGGTAGATTGTATATTTTGTTTTTTGCTTTGTTTCAGCCTCTCAAAAACAATGGGCAGATCTCTGAGATTAATGGAAAAGCAGACGGCTCTATAGCAGAAGTTAATGGTCACTGTGAGGATGAAAACGCTACAGAGGGTGGGTACTCATCATTTGTGTATTACTGCTTATTGATAGACAATGTCAGCATAATTTTAACAGACGCATAACTTGTTGGATTTCAGCTGATAGAATTTCACCTCCGTCATCAGTCTTGTAGAGGTCTTGAAATTTAAGTGTTTCAATATTTTGTTTCTTTTCTGGTTTAGCGATCCTTTCACCAGACGAAGATGTTTCAGAAACAGAAGAGCCACTTCAAGAAGAAGAAGAAGAAGAAGAAGAAGAAACACAATTAGAAAATGTCGAAATTAATGAAAGGGAACCACCTACTGAAGCTGATGCAAATGAAATGACTGAAATGGATGCAAAGCAGAATGACATCAATGAAGGTTTTAGGAGATTTTTCAGTAACATTGGTTTGAAATTGACAGTAAAGAGGGGCTCAAGTGAAATAGCAACAGATGTGCCCGATAAGACTAACAAGGAAGAACCAAACAGACCAGAAGATGTCGAGGATACTGCAAAGGAGACCAAAAGTGACAATGCTGAACAGAATGCTGATGTGAACATAGCACAGGAGACTTATGATAATGATTCAACAACATGTCCTACCCTGACAGATGTTACATCAGAGGATGTTCTAGAAAATGCAGAGGAGAAAACAACAGAAACCAAAGAGGAAGTTAAATCTGATCATGCAGAAGAAACAACTGCGCCTGCAGGAGAAGACACACAGCAGGATGCCGCACCTGAAGAAGAGCCACATTCCACATTTCCATCTAGTCCTGAAGAAGAGGTTGTCGTATCTCCAATTAAAAGATTTTTTACAACTGGAATTTTTTCTGGACTACGGAAGAAAAAGAAACCTGCAGAAGATGAAACAACTGAGAAAGAACTGGTAGACATGGGGAAAAAGGAAGCCATGGAGACAACAGAACAAACTGCACAAGAACAACAACAGGATAAAGACAAGATTAGTACAGGTGTTGAAGCAGCTGCAGTTGAGGTGGAAGAAGGGAAATCATCTTCCATGGATCCATCAACCATTACTGTCTCTGAGCCTGAAATTCTGAGTTCTCAAGAGAAGGACAAAGTTCAAGCAAGTCCTCTAAAAAGGCTGCTGTCAGGGTCTAGTTTAAAGAAACTCTCCAAAAAGCAAAGAAGCAGGAAGTCAAGCGATGCAAAGCTTTCTGACTCTGGAGAACATGTTTCAGATCAGCTCCTGTCATCTACTGAGTCAGCTGAGAACCAGAAAGAAGAAGGTCCTATACAGCCCTCTGTAGAGGCAGCTGGAGAAGAGGATGGTGCATGGGCTTCCTTCAAAAAACTTGTGACTCCAAAAAAACATGTGAAGAGATCCTCTTTGAGCAATGACGAGACACAAATCCCAGGTTCAGTAGAAGAACCAAAACCAAGTGAAGGAGAGCAAATATCAGATCACAGCACAGAAGAAGGAAAAAAAAGAAAGGACTCATCTGTTTCATGGGAAGCTGTTTTGTGTGGATCTGGAAGGAGAAGAAGCAGAAAAACGTCAGACTCTGATGACGAAATGCCACAAGTTGATCATAAGCAAGAAAGTGGATCGAAACATGGAGCAGAATCACCCCTAGAAAGTTCTAACGAGAATGAGCATGAAATTATAGCCGCTTCCAAACAAGCAGGAAGTCCTTCAGAGGGTGATGGAGGGTCAACATGGAAATCACTGAAAAGACTTGTCACCCCGAAAAGGAAAGCCAAGGATGAGAATGAAAGCAAAGAAAATATACAGTCTGACAATGAAGTTACTCAAGATGAGTCCTTTTCAATAAAGAAACTCCTACCAGGACGGAAAAAGAGGAAGTCTGCTGAAAAGCAAGACCAAATATCTTCAGATGAGGCTGATAAAGATGTAGCCTCTGGTGATGAAGACTCTGAGACACCAGCTGTGGTTCCATTGTCTGAGTTTGATACAGTTGAGACAGAGGTTCACATACAAAAACAGGCAGACATAGAAAGTCATATACCTGAGGAAGCAAACCATGAACTCCAGCAAAACCTCCTTGATCACATGGCTGAACCAGTCCTACCTTGTGACAGCATGCTAACTGAAGCAAAAGAAGTCCAAGACAATGATGATGCTTTAGAAAAACAGCCATCTACAATCCCTGCTACAAATGAGGAACCTGATGATCTTTCCGAATCAATCAGTAAACATCAACTACTCAGTGACATTCCAGAGGAGGGCATACTTACAGAAACCATGGCTACTCCAGCTTCAGTCGCTGAAGAAGTAGCTAGAGATGACACTATAGCAGAGGACCTGATAGAGATCACATCAGAGGCCATTACAGCACCAGAACCTGCCTCAGACATTACCATGGCAGATGAAACTGAAATGATCTCTGCTGTTTCCCAGTTATCTTCAGAGTCTTCAAAAACATCTGGCAACACAACACCAGTTCCAGTAGAATATGACATCATAGAAACAGATACTCTCCTGCATCAGGCTGTTGAAACCATTTCCATAAGCCCAAAGGCTCTCCCAGTTTGTTCAGACGACTTAAACTCTGAAAGAATAGTTGGTTCTGTCTCGCATCCAATACTGGAAACATTTGTAACAGAAGAGGCAACAATTCTGGAAATACACAGAAGATTTGATGCAACTGCCTTTAAGACAGGTCTAAGTGTTGAAGAACTGGAAGCTATTAATGAACTTTCAGCTACACCCCAAACAGAGAGCATATCAGAAGTCAATGACTCGGTTTCCACAGAGGTTGTATCTGAAGTTCTTACTGAGGAGTTTAACACTGCTGAAATTTCTGTAGATGAAGTACATGATGTCAACCTTACACATCCAGAAGAAAGCATAAAAGAATTAGAAAGGTTTGATGAGAGCCATCTTCTGGTGGAATGCCTATCTGAGGTAAATGCTGTTGTGTCTGGGAATTTATTACCTGAAGGTGAACAAACTGTCCCAGATGTTGGTTCTCTAGTTGACGCACACCAAGCTGAAACAGAGACCCCTGCTATGGAGCAAGAAGTTCAAATTGTTGCAGAAAAGGAGATCATGTACAATATCACTGATGAAATTCAAGTTGAGGATAAAGATCAACCACCAGTAGCGGGGGAGGAATTACAAGAATCAGTAGCTGTACAAGCTGCCACATCAGATTCAGAGGAGAGTAATGTTCAATCACTTCAAAAGGAACCAGAAAAAGTAAATGAACTAGAAACAGATGCTGCCAAAACTGAACATGTTCAAATGCCATCGGCATCCGAATCTGTGCAAACCTCCACATTAGATTCAGAGGAGAGTAGTGTTGTATCACCAGAGGAGGAAGTAAAATCAGAGGACGTTCCACCAGCAGAAACTAAAGTCAGTGAAGTCAGTGTTGAGCAACAAAATAAAGAACTACCACTGACTGCTGTAGTAACCGAACATGTTCAAGAACCAGAAGCATTAGAAGCTGTTAAAGCATCCACATTAGATTCAGAGGAGAGCAGTGTTCAATCACTTGAAAAGGAGGTAATATCAGAGGACATACCCGAAGCAGAATCAGTCACAGATGAACCCAAGCAGACAGGAGAGCATCTCACTGAAGTCAGTGTTAAGCCAGAAAACAAAGAACTACCATTGAATGCTGTCAAAAATGAACATGTTCAAGAACCAGAATTACTAGAAGCAACCACAATAGATTCAGAGGAGGGCAGTGCACAATCACTTGAAAAAGAGGCAATATCAGAGGAGGTTCCCAAAGCAGAAACAGTTACAGATGAATGCAAATCGGAAACAATACCTCCAACTGAAGTCAATCTTGAGCCAGTGGATACTTCCAAAACTACACATGTTCAAGAACCAGAAGAATTACAAGCAGCAACATTAGATTTAGTTACAGATAAACCCAAACAGGAAAATGAAGTGAGGGTTGAGCCAGAAGAAGTAATACCACTGGAAGATGCCAAAACTGAACTTGTTCAAGAACCAGAAGTATTACAAACAGCAACACTAGATTCAGTTACAGATGAACCCAAACAGGAAAATGAAGTGAGGGTTGAGCCAGAAGAAGTAATACCACTGGAAGATGCCAAAACTGAACTTGTTCAGGAACCAGAAGTATTACAAACAGCAACATTAGATTCAGTTACAGATGAACTCAAACAGGAAAATGAAGTGAGGGTTGAGCCAGAAGAAGTAATACCACTGGAAGATGCCAAAACTAAACTTGTTCAAGAACCAGAAGTATTACAAACAGCAACATTAGACTCAGATACAGATGAACCCAAACAGGAAAATGAAGTGATGGTTGAGCCAGAAGAAGTAATACCACCGGAAGATGCCAAAACTGAACTTGTTCAAGAACCAGAAGTTTTACAAACAGCAACATTAGATTCAGATACAGATGAACCCAAACAGGAAAA